TCATGATCATATCGAAACAATACACAAACATTGTCACATTCTCAATCTATAAAATTCGAATACAATACCATTTCATTGTACATCTCTTCGGACATTCTCTGAAAATTGAAAGGAATGTCTACACAAACTTTCGGAAATAAGGGAAATTATAATCTTAAATAAAAGCGCTCGGAAATAATAAATAATATGGAACAAATCAAATAATTTCGTGCCTGTGTTATCAATCGAAAATCACTGGCTATTTTTGAATGCTTTAATTCTGACTTTTCGATTATTGTTTATAATCAATCAAATCATGTTTTTTATTTTCATTTTGTTATTTAAAATAAACTAGACCGCAAGTAAATAATTCAAAGTGTTAATGAGTAAGTAAATCTAAAAATACAGGAAAAACAAAAATATATACAGGAAGAACCATTCACCGGAAAATTAAGCACAACAATTTAGTTAAAATGGCACAAATATAAGAAATACTCGATGATAGTTATCAAAATGCACAAAAGGGTGTAGGTATTATTATAATTCATCATGGTAATTATTATCTATTTTGAATTCAAATATACAGGGTGTCCCTAAAAGGTCTGTACATCTTTACACATATTCATAAGGTCAAAATAAGCCGATTTCAAACAACTTATCTCAGTCTGAAATTGTTTCGTTTCCAAGATACATGGTGGTCAAGTTAAAAAATGAAAATCGACAAGTACAGTCCAAGGAAGTATTCTGAAAAATCCATTTTTGTACTGCTAATTCACTGACCAAATTACATCCACGAAGGTGAACAGCAAACATTTTTTATTCAAAATAATTCAAATATTTTGGTGGCATCCAACACTAAAAACCCAAATATCTCTAAATCGGCTTACTTTAGCGGATGTTCAAAAGAATATTTTTTTGACTAAAAATGTTCAAACAATCATTTCTTTGACGAAAAAAATTAAAACTACACTGATAAAAATCCTATGGTTATCCTAAACCATAAGAAGTGCATTGGTAAGCACCCTCTAATGGCCACAGTGAAATGGTGTCTGTATTCGGGTTTCCTATCCCGAAAAACCCCCGGGCTACCCATTTTGAAAGTAATACCTCAAAAAATCTTCAAGTATTTTGAAAAATTCGATTTTAATTTTTTAACTTCACCACCCTGTATCTGGGAAACGGAGCAATTTCGGGCTGAGGTAAGTTGCTTTTGCTGATTTTTTACAGACCTTTCAGGGATACACCCTGTTCAACAGCGTCCTCATCTTGAAGTCAAGTAGAAAATTAAACAGCAAAACATAAATTTGGACTACAAATATTAAAAAAGTTTATTGCCCCTCTTCAATTATTAATTATTCTAGAATAGAGTAGGGAATTATGTAAGAGGTTACCACAAATTGATATTGATATATTATCGACAATAATAATATAATATGTATTATTTATGTTTAGCTGTTACACATATCAACTATTAATAATTATTAAATGGTTGTTGCACTCTCAGTTCAGACAGAATAATTATCGAATGTTTATTACATAATTAGCAAATAAACATTATAAATAAATGTTCAACTGTTTTAACTGAAAGAGGACCGAATATTTCATAAATCAAAGTACTGAGTACCTTCAATTTGATTAATAACAGACTAGGACCAGGTTGTTACGGTCATGGCAACGACCATAAAAAACACAGGGACAGTCAACTAAACCAGTGATCAAATTCCATTGTATTCCATTGGACAAATAAAATCTTATTTGTCAAGAATCTATTATCAATAGAATGATAAGGTCATTGCTATTTCGACATAGTTGAAGTAGGTAGTGATAACACTAATTTCTCAACGATAATGGTCCAGAAATTATAACAATAAAATAACCGTTTCCACAGGTACTAGAGGAACATCGAATAATAACAATAATAATAGTGGTTTTTGGAATAACCAAATTTTTGTTTTTGAATGTTTCATCATGAAATTTGGTACCAGTAAAAATTGACCCAGCCTATGAATACATCAGAGGAATAGGCAACAAAAGTATGATGTATGACGAAATTCGGCAGCATCGAAATATTACCACCAAAAATATCTTCAGAATATTTTGACACGAATTTTTTTTTAGTGACAAATTAGTAAATACTAGTAGTTTTCATGAGAAAAATAGAGAGTAGCAACTTGCTTTTTATATTTAATGTATTATCAGCAAGGAGGTGGTATTCCCTACAATATTTAACCTCAAACACTGAATTGTATCTATCTTGGAATTGAAATGTTTATTGATCGTTTTGATGAAACCATTCAATTTTACCAAAAAAGGTAATTCTTTGAAAAACAAAGAACATGTGTGTGGAAATCATATTTTTTTTCTACAAACGTCAAAAAATGACAAGGTTCGCGCATTGATATCAAATTGCGAAGTGGCACATTTTTTCAGTTTCCTACGTTACCATGATACCTTGCAGAAAACAATGCGCGAAGTAAAACAGTGCGCGAAGTACCTACTTCGCGCATTGTAAAATATATGAGATATTTATATTTCAACTTCATAGTTCTCAATCGAGAAAACATCCACGAAATCATTTATTTCTGAATGTTCAACAATAACTTTGTTTTATCTCTTGGAGCGCACGAAAGGAAATTCCTATTATTTTCGTGGAACATCGTGCGTACCTATGGAGGATAGGGGGAGGCCTTCAAAGCCAGTTCAACACTATTTTTTATATCAAGCTAAGCAGATTTTTACTTTAGAACTATATTTTTTGACGTTTGTAGAAAAAATTTTGTTTGCAACTCGAGCGCGAAATACTTTGGTCATCTCGACTATTTTTTTAACTCGGCTATGCCTCGTTAAAAAAATCAGATCTCGATCACCAAAGTAGCATTTCGCGCTCTAGATACAAAAATAACTATTTCTGTGACAATCTCTAACTTGCTACATATTTTTATAAAATTTTGGGAATTTATAATTTCTCTAATGATTTTTCAACATGCAGATTTTTTCTCAATGATGGAAAACAGGAGAAAAAATCAAACTGCAAAATTGATAGGATGACAATATCATTTTTTTCGTTCAAATTCTATATCAGGAAGGGTTGATAAGATTTATGGTATAAAAAAAAATCTAGTACTGTTTCATATACAATATTATTTGTAATTTCAGTTCTACTTGTTGCTCCTAGATACCGCCTCCTACTGAAAGAATTTCTGGCTTCATTGCTCTCATAAATAATCAAGGCTTTAATAAACCTTAAGAGGTGTCAATATATTTTCCATATACAGGGTGATTCAAGAGTACTTTGACAACTTCAGCAGGTGACTCCTCATAATCGGAAATGCTTCGTTTCCAAGATACAGAGGGTGCTAAAGCTTTCTTTCAAAATAAGTGTTTTGAAGGTTTAACTGTTATCAGAACTACTTACTGAAACGTCAAATTCATTCCCTGAGAGTTCTTGTGAAAAATACAAAATAATGGTAAAAACTTCAATGCATAAGCAACCAAACCGATTTTTTATACGTCTAGATATATCAATATGCAAGGATATACCAATACTTGACTCGAAATTTTCTTGTCCAAATATCTTGAAAATGGTTGCTCATAGCGACTTGTAAAAAGGGTAGCCATTTTACGTAAGGGTAGCCATTTTACGTAGATATAACAGAGAAATTGATTTTATTACGAAAAATGTGCTAAAAGTACGCTCAAAAAAATGTAAATAGAAATTGGTGGCGCCTCCTACAAGTAAGAGCAATAATAACATCAGGTTCAAATTCAACACCTAAAAAATCTCTCAAAACCGTTTAAATAAGGTCATTATTTCGGAAGTTATTAAAAAAAATGAAAATATAAATAAAACTTCAACACCCTGTATCTTGGAAACGAGGCGTTTCCGGAAATACCTATATGGACAATTCATATGGGAATATTGTGAGGAATCACCTCCTGGAATTTGTCAAAGTAAGTTTGAATCACCCTGTATTCTTCTTTCCCAAACATTTATCAAACACTGCCGATCGACTACAGGGTGATAATTAGAAGTATCTGAAGAACGAGAAGACAGAACATTCTGAAAATTGGGATGCATTCTCTATTCGTCTAAAATATTTTCATCGTTACAGTGTTGCCACTTCTATCAGAAACAACTAGCAACTTCGTTATTTTAAATGGAGCACCCTGCATTTTATTGCATTCATAGATTCTTCCTGGAGAGCTGATTTCATCAATGCATCACACTTGGGGTCTAGCAGGAATGATTACAGAGATATAGGGTGTTCAAAATTGAGATTTTTCAATTTCAGGATTTTTTTGTGTCGAAACTATTAATTATCGATCAAAACGGCTCACATGTCCCTATCTTAACTTTCGATTCACTATCTACTGACATTTAATTGGAACAGATACAGGGTGATCAGAATTCTGAATCTTGAAGCACCCTGCATTTTTTCCAATTAAATTCCAGTAGATAGTGAATCAAAAGTTGAGATAGGGACATGATCGATAATGAATAGTTTCGACACAAAAAAATCCTAAAATTGAAAAATCTCGAATTTGAACACCCTATATCTCTGTAATCATTCCTGCTATACCCCAAGTGTGATGCATTGATGGAATCAGCTCTTCAGAAAGAATCTGAAAATGCAATAAAATACAGGGTGTTCCATTTGAAATAACAAAGTTACTAGTTGTTTCTGATAGAAGTGGCAACACTGTATCGATGAAAATATTTCAGACGGATAGAGAATGTTCAATCATCAGAGCATCCCAATTTTCAGAATGTTTTGTCTTCTCGTTCTCCAGATACTTCTAATAGGCCATCCACCGTGGATCACCTTGTATATTTCTTTTTCAGATGTTTGATGACAAACCATCAATGTTATGTCTCATTTTTTCAAATCACGAGAAAAATGGCGCTAGCCCGAGTTTTTTCTCGTCAACTTCGTCAATTCAAAATCACCACTTTTGATCCCTATTCCACCGCAAACCAACGGACACATAACCTAAAAGAAAAAAAAACACCGCAAACTCACCTCTCTGATGGTCAGCGTGTGCGACACCATCTGTATGTTGTTCTGGCTCTGGCTGTTGGGCAGATTCTCATTGGACCTCGATCGCACCAGTTGCCGTGACCCGTTCACTACGTTCTTGCTCTTGAGGATCATCTCCGTCTTGAGGAACACCCGCGAGATGTACGACGAGCTCAGACCCCTGATGCCGAAGGCCACCTTGAGCACCTTAGAAAAAGTAGAAGTTGTTAACTTATGGTCATCTCCACGACTTTTATTTCAACTGATAGATCAGTCGTAAGAATGATGGAAATGAGTATGGTTTACTTACTGATGCGCTTTTGTTTCATAAATTCTTCTCGACCTCTCGAAAGTCCCGAGAACAATGTTTTCAGCGGTTCTCGGATAGATGGCGACATTGCACAATTATGACATCTGTCAATTTTTAAATTTGCGCAGATTTTTCGAATTCAGAGTTAAATAATCCCACTGTTATCATTATTCAATATTTCAATCATTTGATACACATAATATGTGTATGGTACATATTTCAATTTGCCCAATTTTCGATTTACCCAATCTTCGATTCACCCAATTTTCGATTCACCCGATTTTCGATTCGCCGCAAATTCGATTCACCCAAATTTCGATGGACCCAAATTTCGATCGACCCAAATTTCGACGTAATATAAGGAAGAAAAATATTTTTTTCAGTAATAAGGAAGGAGACTACCTTTTCCAAACTACCTAACCTACCTAACCTACCTAACTCGGTCGAATCGAAAATTGGGTGAATAGAAGATTGGGGGAATCGAAAATTGGGCGAATCGAAAATTGGGTGAAACGAAATGTTGGCCCCAATGACATATTTGAATGATTGTTGATAATTCCTGTTTCATTGAATCCGAGGAAATGTGGCATTATTTGACAACAACGCATCTTTCGGGTATGTTCGGAGACGGTGGGTGAATCTAAAATTGGGTGAATCGGATATTGGGCGAATCGAAAATTGGGTCAAACGAGACGTTTCCTCCTGTTTAACCCTAGAGTCACTGGATGATGTCTCTATTCAACTCTAAAGCAGAAGATCATGCCGTATGCCGTACTACTAAATGTTAACCTAATTAGCAAACATCTTAAATTCCAAAAGGTCGAGTCAACAGGCTTAACGTAATTGAAGAATACATTTCATTTTTGGATATGGAGGATTGAGAGGCTCAAATTTGCTTAAATGGGCATATTTTGATAAAATTCTCTTCACTATTTAAAGAAATACTGAAGTTAATCCCGGGATGTAGATGTTTTTTTGGGATTTCGAACCGGGATCCCAATCCCGAAAATCGGAAACCCTATTCATAAGATGTTGGAGGAGCACAGCGAAACTCAGCAAAATGTGGCAGATTTGTCATGGATTCTTTAGCAGTTCATTGTCTGTTTAATCTTTACAGGTATTTTTATGTGAAGATGGCCGTTGAGCCGAAACTAGACACAAACATGATTTGTTAATATAATTTTTGTGGTCGACCGATTTTGTGTTTTCCTGTTTTTTCTTTGAAAATATATGGCAGATTCGTCTACACTCTCGGAGTCTGCTCTAGTCTACGAGAACTACAAACAGTGAAACTGAATTTTAAATGATTCAAATGAAAACGAGAATAAATTTGAAATGGCTACGATAGTAAATTACAAGTAATGCAATGCAATTGACTAACTTTTTGTGGGGACACTGGCATCTCTTTGCAGAATTTGGCGAGAGCGCTATCCACTCCGTTCTTCTGGATTTCGGCCAGCCATTCCGAAGACGATGAGGACGAACTTTTGTGGAAGAGGATCAGGATGGCCATTGCCGTCCTGTACAGCACCTAGAACAAACAAATCAACATTGAAAACGGAAAACTGGAAATCCATTTGAAATGAGACTATTTTCATCTAAACTAAAATGTCCTCAATTTTTATCGAAGATATGGTTCATATCATTTTTCGAAAAAAGTTCATCACCCTATAATTCTTCTGTGTCACTCAATAATTTTGCCAGTCATGACAGCTATATTTTATTATTATAAATAGCAACTATCATCAAAGAGATTTGAAGTGCATACATACAAAACGATTTTTTTTTTAATAAAATTTGTCCAGACGTAAGTGCATGAATAAGCATAATGACCCATTATGTTTGAATGGGTCTGTTTCAGTGAAATATGTATTTCATTTCGATGTGCATATTTCTTAAATAATTCGAATTCACGATATTATTTCATAACATGAAAAATCAGATAATCTGAGGATTATCTTTGAATAATCACAGTAAACTCGAGTAGATGAAATGATTTGAAGATGAAGGTGACAGACAAGATGGACGTTAGAAAGTTAGGTTATACTTCTTCCTTTCTTGTATTTCTATGAACTCTAAGCATTACGCTGTTGCCAGGGTCACAAAATAATTTGGATTTGAATAAAATCTCGATCAATATAAGGAATATTAGGATATTCCTATTAGTGATGAAGTATCTTGCAAGATATATAAGTATTCAATAAATGATTATTAGGGACCATGTGAAACCATTGTTTTTTTTAATGTGAATACTGTTGTCATTGAGTCATATTGAATATCATATGGTAATTACTAGTTATAAATTTGGCAGCGTGGAATGAGGTGGAATATTTTATCAATGGCGTTTTTCAAAGGTGCCGATTAAGTATAGAAAAAAATATGTGATGGAAATGGAACTCTTTTTTGAAATCCCCATTTGTTTTGAAACAATTGAACTTCCTTTTTTCCGTCCGACAAACCGACAAATGAATCATCCTTTATGCATTTGTGGCATAACTAAATTATTCTGAACTAATAGGCTAGTGCCATATTTCGTATTTAAAATAGTGACAGTCTTTTACATTGTGAGAGTTTCTTCAAAGAAAAAGAGAAAATAACATTTCAACACCCTATAGTTTGAATGTTAAGAGGTTTATGGCATACATTCATATGAATTTTTCATCTTAAAATGAGCTGAGGAACCATATCCAATATTTTCAGCCATCAATTAAATTACACCCTGTATATCTCACCTTGACGCCTTCGTGGAAAAAACAGTCCATCACCCTGACGAGGTGGGGGAAGGGCAGGCCCTGGAAAATCCACCATATCCAGTCCATGTAGAGCTTTTCCGACCTGTTGCTCGGGTAGTGTCTTTGCAGGTGGATGGCCGCCGATTTCTGAAGCAAGGGCTTAAAATTAGGTGTTAAAAACAATCCGGCAACCGATTTCTTGACGAGCATCGATCCAACTACATAAGTGTTTCGATCCACGTCAGAAAATTTTCATTTTCGGCAACCGTCCGGGAAGAACTCACTTTCCGGACGATTTTTCTCTAAGAAAGAACTACATTGTTGTCATTGTTACCTACATAATAACCAGATAATAGAATGGGAAAGTTTCCTTCAGATTAATTTTCATAAAATAAGTTCGGAACTCTCCAGTTTTATGTCCACGCTGTCGTTTTCATTTTCAGATTAAAGCAATTTCTAATTTTAGGGGCGGCAAACTATGACGTACTCTGGATCTACTCTGAAAATAGCTGATGGTGAAGAATATAGCTAGCGAATAGCTAACTAATAGCTAACGAATGAAAAAAATAGAAGAAGAAGTAAAACTGGTAAACAAAAACATACATAACCACAAATGCACTCGGAGCAGGAATGCAGAGGGTAGTTGGCTTCATTCTGACAGGTTTTTTTTTTAATTTATGCATTGAAATATCTCGAATAGAGCTCGATCCCTAAACGAAAATATCATTGAATCAATGAATCACTATCGGCCACTTCAGAATGGCTCCTTCCTCTTGTTGTGCCTGTCAGTATTTTGAGTGATGTGGACGAAATCGTTATCAACATTTCATTTTGACGGCCTAGGCAATGGGCTGAAGTAATTTCGTAGATATTTTGGAAAAGTCCTACGAAGGAATAAATCTCGGAATGAATCTCAATACTATTAACAAAGCAAAGGCAGAGACCTATAGCTACTGAACGACGAGCGATAGTACATGGTTTTGGAAAATCCTGGCTATTGATGAGTATGGTTGAATGATTGGAGATCGGTTGAGGTACAAAAGTTACCGACGCCTTTGGTATGTGGTGATAGTCACCTATAAAAGAGCTTCTATTCACGACCAATAACACGAATTTTCACCAAATGATTCTGTAGGTGTTTCTTTCTGGCGCTATTAACAAGGATGTCGTAGGAAGGCGAGAGACAGAGCATTATTTATAGGAAGTCGTTTGTCATTCAATTTGTCGCGCCAAGAATCATTCTATGAAAGAGCGATTAGAGATGAGTACTCTTGGTTGTCGTAGCTTCTTATTTTCTGCTGAATAATACTCGGAATCATCTATTATTTGATAGTTAGTACTTTACTATACTTTGAGAAACCATGGAATTCTACCAAAGATTCTTATTTTCTGTTTGAGGTAGGAATATTCATCACAAAACAAATATATTCGAATAGAGAGTTGAATAATTCAAACAACCATGATTTTCGGTATGGATGCATTTTTAGACTAATCAGAACGATCCTATCTGTGAAGGTGAATTTGAATCCGTATCCGTATCCTTATTTTTTCTTCAGGCACCCCACTTCATAGGAGAAGTATATTTTTTATATTTTGTTTATCATTTTCAACACTGAATAAGACAAGAAAAACTAAAAAAACTTTGGTTCTTCGTCATAATTTCATCTGTTCATATATGGGTGTGAATAATTTGCGGACTGGAAAAAATGCTGCGGACTGGTTAATTTCAGCAACGAATCGTTGTTTTTATTGCATATCTGTATTTAGCTCATCAAACTACACGATGATAAGTTTATGATTGTTTGCTCTGCCCCCCCTGGGAAGCACTCTACTCGTGTGTTTCTTCAGAAAATCTTGCGGATTGGGTATTTTTGCAAGTCAAATAATCTCAATTTTCTCAAAAATCGATTTATATCATGAAAATACACGATGAAAAGTTTTTTAAATTTTTCCCTTGCCCCCCTGGAGACCATTCTACTCGAGTGTTTTTTTCATGAAATCTTGCGGACTGGGTATTTTTCCAAGGCAAATCATCTAAATTTTCCCAAAAATTGATTTATCTCTTGAACATAAACGATGAAAAGTTTTGAAAATGTTTCCCTAGCCCCTCTGGGAGCACTTTACTCGTGTGTTTTCATAAAATCTTGCGGACTGGGTATTGAGATGATTTGACACAAAAATTCTCAGGCCGCAAGATTTTATAAAAAAACACACGACTAAAGTGCTCCCCTGGGAGGCTAGGGAAAAATTTTAAGAACTATATATCGTGTATTTTCAAGAGAGAAATCGATTTTTGAGAAAGTTGAGATGATTCGACTTGAGAAAAATACCCAGTACGCAAGATTTTATGAAAAAACACACGAGTCAAGTGCTCCCCAGGGTGGGGGGGGGGTCAGTGTAAAAAATCAGAAACTTTTTATCGTGTAGTTCGAGGAGCTGAATCCAGATATCCAATAAAAACAACGATTTGTTCGCTGAAAATAGCCACCCTTCAACTTCTAAATAGGAAGGTATGAGATACTCACCACGTGTTTTTTGCAAATCTGCATGACAGTCTTCCACGTGACCTCGTACAGTAGTTTCGTTTGCGTGATGAATGTCTTTTCTTTTGATGCCACCAGACTCGCCATGCAATGGTAACATTCCTCCTCTGAAACAAATAAAATTCGAACATTAATATTTAGATATGATTAGCCTCAAGATGGCCGTAAATCGGAATTATAATAGTAGGCGAATGGACTTTTGTTTATTTCTCAGATAAATAGAATCATCACTCAAACACCTTTCAGTTTCATATTTTTTTAAAATTTTCCGGTTGATTTTAAGGTGCTCAACTCGCTCAGATCATTAATAATGCCACGATAATTTTCGAACGACTAGAAGGGCGATTTCGTAGGGACAGACCATAGCTCAGTTGCCATATGTTGAAATACGATTGGGAACTTCAGAAATATTAGTTATTCAATAATTCATAAATTCTCAATTATGTATTGGTAATATTCCTAATTAGCAATAAAAAATCAACTGTCTCAAAATGTTCCCTCATGTGTCGTGGCACATTGTTTACAATAAATTTGTGTAAATGATAATTATATGAATTCACACACATTTGAACCGGCAAACGTGACAACACGGCGCACTAATTGTAGGCGTTGTCTTGTCAGTTCTCAGCATAGGGCACAATGTTGCCAAGACTCCAATATTTACATTTAATATTTTGTTATGGAGTATAAGAAATATTTGGACATGCTGGTTGTTCGAAAAAGTCAAGAATGAACTATAATATCATGGCTTCCTCCTGTTATGTTTAATTCAACGACAGGACTCTCAACATCCTTTTGATAACTCGATTATAATTGGTGACTTGACAACTTTGCTTCGTGAGTGGGAATGGAAGGTTATCTGACCAATAACGAAACAGCATAAAAACTGACGTCACAATCACAACATATCCGACGTATCGAAGAACATCGCCAAATGGCAGCCATGACGGTACGTTTGAAATCAGCTCTGAAATTCAACAATTTATTTACATAAGTATTCCCAACCACTGAATTATAGAGGGGAAAAACTTTAAACCATCTTACTTTAAACCCACACTGTATTTTCGGAATCTCAGGTGGGTGTGTTCCGTTTGTATACATATTATTCATAATTATTATGTATATATAGTGAGGAAATGGTTGGCAGCCAGTCACACGACATAAAATATGAAGTGTCGAGGGCACTAAAATATCAGCGTAAAATCAAGCGGTTTCAATATAAAGAAATTGAAATTGTAGTAGGATGTGGTCACACGATTGACTTTACTCAAAATCTGAAAATAACTGAGGAAACTTGACAATTTATAATAATTAATCTATACTTATATCATAAAGGATTTGATTGTTTGTTTGTTTGTCGAAACTACTGGATCGGTTTGGCTGAAAATTTGTGGGGAGGTAGCTTAGAAAAGGTTATAGGATACTTTTTATCCCGGAACCATTAGGAAATTCAAGATGGCGGATTGGCGGATCTAATATATCGGACGAGTTTCGAAATTATGGTCCGATTCTATTCAAAATTGGTATCTGGAGGTTTTCGGGGTCGGAGATTATGATTCTTTCGTCAGAAAATTTTGGCGGGATTTGGAAATTCAAGATGGCGGAACCAATATGGCGGACGAGTTTTGTAAACATAATCCGATTCTTTTCAAAATTGATATCTAGGGGTTTTCGTGATCAGGGATTATGATTCCTTCGTCAAAATTAAGAAATTCAAGATGGCGGATCCAAAATGGCGGATTTTGTAATTAGGATCCGATTTTATTCACATTTGGTATCTGGTGGAACTCGGGTTCGGAAATTATGATTCTTTCGTCAAAATTAGGAAATTCAATATGGCGGACCCAATATGGCATACGAGTATTGTAATTATGATCCGACTCTCTTCAAAATTGTTATCTGGGTGTTTTCGGGGTCGGAGATTATGATTCTTTTGTCAAAATTTGGAAAGGGCGGGATTTGGAAATTCAAGACGGTGGAACCAATATACCGGGCGAATTTCGTAATTATATACCGATTCTATTCAAAATTTGTAAGTGGGCGTTTTCGGGATCAAAAATCATGATTCCTTCGTCAAAATTAGGGAATTCAAGATGGTTGATCCAATATTGCCGAAGAGTTTTGTAATTATGTTCCAATTATATTCAAAATTTTCATCTGGGGTTTTAGTAGTCGGATATAATGATTCTTTCGTCGAAATTGGGAAATTCAAGTGAACTAAAAAGAAATTGAAATAAATGGTAGTTTGAAAAACTAAAGAAACACGCTTTATAGATTAAAACTAAAAATAAGTAGAAAATAAAATAATAATAGTGTCTTGATGCATATTGGACTGAAAAAATATATTATAGAAATAATGTATATAGCAAAACAACGTTTGCGATGCTAGTGAGATAATAAAGCTACTATTGTAGCTGTAATATATTCAAAATTACGCATCATTTTTTGAATACAGCGATTATTTGAAAATAGTCGCTCACATTGATTCAGCCGGATGCCCTTATGCATTCATTTTTTCATGCAATATTTATTAGGTATATAAATGTGAAAAACGATTGATTTTGACCCAATTGTATAGGTCATGTCACGTTAACCGATAGTTGGCATGTTATGAAATTATTGATTATGGAATTCCACACCTGATTATATTTACTACAGAAATACCTGACATGGTAGTATATGTGTTATTATCTCTAAATTAGCTAATCGGTTTTAATTAAACAAGCTGACTTAAATTTGCGCTATAACACACTATATATCATATAGTGTAGCCACGACTACAGAACCGTACTCTAAATGATTTTTTCGTGTATACTCATAGGTAGGTGAGTACAATGAACCATTTTTTTACTGGCCAGCTTTCAAGTAAATGGTTCTGAGAATTTTTTTAAATCTTTTGGAGCGCACGAAAGGGAATCTCTATAATGTTAGAAGAACATCGTACGTTCCTAGGGTGGATAGGGAGAGGAGGTAGGTATGAAATACTCATCTCTGATTCATTATTTCAATAATATTCAGAATCTAAAAATTATCTGCTTGTAGAAATTTAATCTAAGGTATGAATAATTTCACAAAATGCGCTATTTCCTGATACTGGCCTGTAAAAAGCATAAAAGAACAATACGAGCCATTACGAGCTTCAAACTGTTTACCATATCGTTGCGATTATACCATTATTATCTTACATTAAATAAGACATTTTTATAGTCTTTTAAATTGTTTAATGTCATCTCGCTGGTAATATAGATACATATGACTGACTGTATAATACTAGCATAGTAGGTATACAGTGTGGCACGTGAAACACTGGTAAGGACCAAATTCTGGAATTCTGAAGAAACCTTGGACAATGGACAGGTACACTTTTACCTTACATTGTATGATCGAGAGTCACGTGACGTCAACGAGTTTATTTTCCAAAATACATCAATATAGGCTCGTCATTCGACAGGGACTTTGATACAAATTCAGTGGACCACCTTTTTATCCGTAAATTTCATTTTCCAGTCTTGAATGATAAACCGTTTTTTTTGTGGGGGTGGTCAAAATCCTCGAAGGACCATTCCCTTCATGGTAGTGTGGAAATCCCTACATGGTGTACCCACTAAACACTCCACCTCATTTCAAGGCTCATCTGACCGAAGTCTCCGATGGCACTTAGGACTGTTGGCCCATTGTACCTCGAATATGCAATATGCCCTTATTGATTTTACCATATACGATCCATGGTTCTTATACAGGGTGATTCAAAAGTAAGCGGCATCCTTCCAGGGGCGTATTCCTTGCATAAAAATGCGGCAAAAAGTTCCTATTAATAAGGGTCCCAAAATGCTTCATAAGGGAGAGACTTTTTTCTCTTCAACTTTAAAATCCTTCATAATAAATCTCCGAAAATTGGTGTACGGCATAAACATTTGATGGTAAATAAGACTCTGAATTCAAAATTGCAAAATTTCATTCAGGTGCGTCACATGCAGGGGAGGGTAAGTGTAAAAACATCCCTTCTTCTTTTGATATTCAGGTTATTTCGTATGAAAATTATAAAATTCTAGAGTTTTTCACGTAAAAAAGGTTCTCCTAGTTCATTTCGATAGAGCGTACCATTTACCATTTACCATTTCCGATTTGCGTAAATCACAATTGCTTGAATATCAAAAGACGAAGATAAGTTTTTTACATCTACCCTTTCCCGCATGTGACGACTGAAAAAAATTTTGAAATTTTGAATTCAGTCTTTTACTCTTATTTGCCATCAAATGTTTATGCCGTACACCAATTTTCGAAAATTTATTATGAAGGATTTTCAAGTTATAGAGATAAAATCGTCTTTGAGGTGTCCTATTCAAAGGGGCGTAGCACCCAAAGGAAGCATTTTCGGACCCTCATTAATACGCCGCTGGAAGGATGCCGTTTACTTTTGAATCACCCTGTATAAGGGCCACTTCAAATGCCGCCACAGTAACTGTGAGTACTGCTGCTCACAGTACCAGCGGTTCGTTTGAAAGACCCTTTTCATTCAGGTTCCTACTAAATTAAAATTAAATAAATTTCTATCGTGAACTATTTATTTTTCACTGCATTTTTACATTTGCAACAAATCACCAAATCAGTACTTGTTGCAATTGTAAAAATGTATTGAACGATAATTAACTATATACATAAACACCCCCTTTGATGTTTTTGCACCCCCACCAGTATGTCATGACGTTTTTGTCTGCAATCTTCGATAATAAAATACGAAAGTAGACCAATTTGTAAACATTGTGATTATGAGCATTCAAACATAAAAATCTAATCATACAGGATTTTGTTTTATGCATAGACGATGTCAGAATTACAGAATTTGTTGTTTCACACTGTATACAATGGACGCCTTCTTGATGTAGATGCAAGGTCGGATAGATTTCATTTCAACTCGTTTCGGAGGTATTTTCTCATAAAACGAATGATGATTGGCGTAATTTCACTTTATAAGAAAATTTGCTTGAAACATGGAATTTTCGTGTTTTTGATGAGAACTACTTGAATGAAAATAATAACAATGATTGTAGTCATCAAGTTAAGAATCCACCTAATGAGAATGAATATGATGCGACAGATCTTGCTA